AAATGAATTTGACTATGATGTTTAGGTCCCTTTTGGCCATGTAACTCCTGACGTGTCTATGTATTCATACATCCCTTGCTTTAACATATTTTTTTTTGAGCGATCCTGATGAAGGTAAATACAGAAAAGCGCTTCGGACGCACAAGATTTATATTGTGTTATTTTCATTAAGGTGGTCAGCAACAATAAGTCACCGTACGCTTTTTTATCAATGAGCAAAACCGATACCGAATAGTAAGCAATAAAAGGCCCCGAAATGACAAATATGAAACAATTCAAACGAGAAATCTAACGGCCTGATTTATGTACAAAATAATAAACGAAAAACAAAATATGATATTCAGCAACATTAATACAGCGGATAACCTTGAGGGCATTCCGGTGTTATGTTGCCGCAGACATTTCTACTCACGTGACTTAAGTTTTTGACTGATAACCGAACGTATTTCGTATAAATACGAAGATATTATCGTGTGATAAATAAAATTCCATACCGCTTGTTATAAATTTATTTCTTCAATGAATACTCATGAAAATATTTTTTAAGAACATAGATAAATAATATGAAAATGTTTTGTCGTGAGAAATATATAGATGATCTGCTATATATATAACTGTTGTACAAATATTAATAAAATATATAACAACAAACCAGATTATACTGATAACACATGATTGTCCCATGATTATATCACTACAATATGATAATAATTACGGTGAAGTTGAATTCTCTTGTCTCAGAAAAAAAATAAATCTATGTACCTTAACCTAACTTTCAGGTATTGAGATATATTATTTTTTCTGAGACGAGTGACTGTGACTATCCACCAGAACTTGCTGTCATCCGATGTTCAGTACTTCAGTACTTTGATTAATACTGTCATCAGTTTCTCAGCAATGACGAAACCTAAATTAATCCGAGGTTATCCAGAAAGGTAATCCGACAGTAACTGCTACAATAATTGAGTAAACACGAACCCTACACCAAACAAAGGTTATCCAGAAAGGTAATCCGGCAGTAACTCCTACACTAATTGAACAACACGAACACTACACCAAACAGAGGTTATCCAGAAAGGTAACCCGGCAGTAACTGCTACACTATTTGAACAGAACGAACCCTCCGTCAAACCGAGGTGACCCAGAAAGGTAATCCGGCAGTATCTGCTACACTAATTGAATAACACGAACCCTAAACCAAACCGAGGTTATCCAGAAAGGTAATCCGGTAGTAACTCCTACACTAATTGAACAACACGAACCCAACACCAAACAGAGGTTATCCATAATGGTAACCCCGCAGTAACTACTGCACTTATTAGCAAAACGAAGCCTACACCAAACCGAGGTTATCCAGAAAGGTAACCCGGCAGTAACTGCTACACTATTTGAACAGAACGAACCCTCCGTCAAACCGAGGTGACCCAGAAAGGTATTCCGGCAGTATCTGCTACACTAATTGAATAACACGAACCCTAAACCAAACCGAGGTTATCCAGAAAGGTAATCCGGCAGTAACTCCTACACTAATTGAACAACACGAACCCAACACCAAACAGAGGTTATCCATAATGGTAACCCCGCAGTAACTACTGCACTAATTAGCAAAACGAAGCCTACACCAAACCGAGGTTATCCAGAAAGGTAATCCGGCAGTAACTGCTACACTAATTGACCAACACGAATCCTACACCAAAATGAGGTTATCCAGAAAGGTAATCCGGCAGTAACTGCTACAATAATTGAGTAACACAAACCCTTCACCAAACAAAGGTTATCCAGAAAGGTAATCCGGCAGTAACTCCTACACTCATTTAACAACACGAACCCTACACCAAACCGAGGTTATCCAGAAAGGTAATCAGGCAGTAGCTGCTGAACTAATTGAACAACACGAACCCTACACCAAACCGAGGTTATCCAGAAAGGTGACCCGGCAGTAGCTGCTAAACTAATTGAACAACACGAACACTACACCAAACCAAGTTTATCCAGAAAGGTAACCCGGCAGAAGCTGCTGTACTAATTGAACAACACGAACACTACACCAAACCGAGATTATCCAGAAAGGTAATCCGGTAGCAGCAGCTGCACTAATTGAACAACACGAACCCTTCACCAAACCGAGGTTATCCAGAAAGGTAGCTACTGTTACCCGAATAATTCAGTCATTATATTCTACGGAAGCCCATAGGGGACCTAAATAATTAATATTATATCGTTATCTCAATATATATATATATATATATATATATATATATATATCGTTATTTCGATATAATTAAATCGTTATCTCGATATATTTATATTGTTATCTCGATATTTATATCGTTAAATCGATATAGGTATTTCGTTATCTCGATATAGTGTATATGTATATGTGTATGTGTGTATATGTGTGTATATGTATATGTATATATGTATATGTGTATGTGTTTTGTGTATACGGGATTGTGTGTATGGATATGTGTATGTTGTATATGTGTGTATATGTGTATTTGTATGTGTATATGTGTATGTATATATGCTTATGTGTATGTGTATATGTGTGTGATTGTGTGTGTTCATTTGGGTTTTTTTACGTGTGAGTGTATTTGTGTGTGAGAGTGAGTGTATATTACTTTGTGCATTTATGTACATTGATGGGTGCATTTTTGTGTTGGTATTTGTTTGTGAATGAGTATGTTTGTGCATGTGTATTTGTTCTTTTTTGTGAGTGAAAGCGTGTGGATTTGTAAAGCGATTCGCGGTAAATGGTTACTCTAAAAAGAAGTGTTGACAACCGAGGACAAACAACAACATATAACATTGAAAACTAAAAACAAATGAGAAACACGGACCCCGAAAAACTGGGGCGACCTCAGATGCTCCGGAAGGGTAAGCAAGACTGCTTCTTGCAGGACACCCGCCGTGTTTCTCACGAAAGTCACTTTTGAGAACGAAGGAAAGGTTTCTTTGACAACGGTAGAGGGTCTGTTGTCATTTGGGACACAGACAGCTCATAGCGGTCAAAAACTTGTCAAAAAACCCACTCTTTTTTAAAAATACTGTTCTCAGAATTCATGAAACAAAAAATCGCAAAGCGGTAATAGTTACCCAACTTTGGTATAAAATTTACAGTTTAATGAGCCCATGAGTACTTTTTCGCGAGGATAAAATTCCAGAGAAGCATCTTATTAGATGATTTTAAACAGCTTTAAGCATTGTGATAAAAAATGAAGAATGCGCACAAGATCAAAGGTCACAGGGAAAAATCAACAGAAACAAAGTGTAACGTGAAACATCGCTTAAAATGCTCAAAATGGTCCAAAACATGAAATAAACTCAACATAAAAAGAGGCCCGAAAAAATGTTGTACTTAGAAATTTTTTGGGCACTTGGGTGACTTCTGCCGCAAAAAAGTTACCATTATACCGCATTCCCGAAAATAAAAATAATCAGGAATGACCAATTACCGCAAAAAAGGGACACATTACCGCAAAATAATTACCATTTACCGCTTTCCCCATATCCAGTCGAACGGGAATGGTATTTGGTAATTTTTTCACCGCTTTCCCCTAACCCTAACACTAACCCTATCAAGATAAACAAAATAAATATCGATATAACGATATAGTTATATCGAGATAACGATATAATTATATCGAGATAACGATTTAATTAAATCGAAATAACGAGACATATATATTGAGATAACGATATAATTTATTTTTTTTAGGTTCCCTATGGGCTTCCGTAATATTCCACTGCTCTACGATGGCTACATTAACGAGCGAGTGGGAGAGTCGATCACGGTGAAGGACTGAATTATTCGGGTTATAGCTACTGAACTAGTTGAACAACACGAACCCTACACCAAACCGAGGTTATCCAGAATGGTAGCCCGGAAGTAACTGCTACACTTTTGGTGTAATCATGTCAAGGTAAACCCCGGTGATCAGTGCTAAACGATGAAATAATGCGGGGTTGTGGCTAAATGGAGTGGATCAGTTGTCAGTTGTGACAAAGATATTCTGCAACAGTCAACCAACTCGTAATGGTGAGCGTAACAATTGATTTAAAGGTTCACAATTTAGTAACCTTGATACAATAGGTTTATTGCGTGAACCCCTATAGATCCGTGTAATGTAGTTCACAATCACTAGTAGCTAATAAATATAATGTAAGTAGAGGTTTTGAAGAGCAATTGATAGACCAAGCAATTTAACGATACTGTTACTAAGTACAAAATGTAGTTCCAATTCAGGTGCGCATTAATAAGAATTTCAAGAACAAATGCCCAAATATCTTGGTCGAGTGAAGCTAGTAGAGAAAACTTAGTTTATTTTTTGGTCATTTGTTTCAGTTTTATGTCTGGAAGTTTTAGATTTTCATGAATTTCAATATGCCAAAATGACTCTTTTTGTATAGGAAAAACATAAAATCTATAAAATAAAATTTCACAAAACTTTGTTTAAAGCAAAATTGCATATATGGGTCTAGATACACATGACACACAATGACAAACGCTTTTGAAGCTGGCAGAATATTAACTTTACAGAAATAAACATATAATATGAAGTCTCCGATTTCGGATGACTTCTGATAAGGTACACATTTTAGCTTGAGAAATTTTCAATCATGTGTAAATAATTTAACAATTTTTTTACTGAATATATAATTGACTAACAAGTGCTTAAATAGGGCAATATAGGACAATTTTTTTCTCTCAAAGCGTTATTGGTCTTTTTATTGAGAATATACAAAATCTTTGATGATAAGAGTAAACTTATTCCTTGACGAATTTTTCGCTGTCTTTAAGATACAAGTACTCGGGGTGTCCAAATTCGGACGCCATTGATAAAAGGGTTCCCGTCAAATCAAAGACTAATCGTTTCTATCTTTATTAAATTTCCTACTGTGAACTTTAATTCAGATAAAATCAGTGTGAGGTTACACATTTATAGTTAGTTTCAAACACAGGTTTTATCCTACGCGGTATTGTCTCCAAATGTTACAATGAATTTAAATGTCTAGGATAAATTTTAAATAATATACGTTTTATGCATACACAAATCGCTTTGCTCACAATTTACACCTTTATCGACGAAATATAAAAAGTAAGTAACTTTATATATTTATATTCATACAATTTTTGACAATCAGTTTTCTCTATTTGCATCTGGAACCTAACATTAAATTAAGTTACAATTTCCATTAAAAATGTCTTCAGATCGTTTATTTCTACATCGTCTATATTTAGCTAAATCAGAAAATTCTGTTGATCAGAACACACTATCATGTCATCCATTAAATGTCATTCCATCTACAATGGAAGTGTCCAAATGGTTTTATCCACATCAGTATGTTTGACACAAGCTACTTTATTTGATGCACGACAATACAGATTAAAACAAAATTAGAGATGAGAACAATCAGTCTCCAAACAGGCCGTTAGACGTCACAGCTATCTCAGACTTAAATCTAAAATATTGCACTTACATTTTTTATGAATCAGATTGTCACACAGTAGGAAAATAGATTTTTTTTTCAAAATTAACATTTATTGAATTAATTTTCGAAAAAAAAAACCAAAAACCTATCAATTTAACACAACTTAGAAGCTTCCCATGTTAAATTGTCAAATCTTTTGGATGAAGCCTTGAGAATAAATATAAACCAATTCAATCATATTTTACATTCACCGAGGTAGGATCGAAATCCTCAGAATATATTTCACTCGAGCATCATTTAAAAACAAGTCAAACTGTCAATCTTTGCTAAAATTTATAGTTTTAGGGCAACATCCGGGTATATCATAACAACATAATGTTTTGTTTCTTAATATTTATAAGGGCTTAAGGATGGCTCAAACTAGAATTTCGAACTATTTCAGCAAATTGTAAGAATCTAAACAAGAGGCTCTCAAGAGCCTGAATCGCTCACCTGTATTTCAGAGGAAAAGATTTTTAAATGTTAGCAAACTTGATGAACAAATTGTGTAAAATTGTTTTTAAAGGGCAATAACTCCTTAAGGGGTCAATTGACAATTTTGGTCATATTAACTTTTTTTGTAGAACTTACTTTGCTGAACATTATTGCTGCTTACAGTTTATATATATCTATAATAATATTCAAAATAATAACAAAAAAACTGCAAAATTTTGTTAAAACTACCAATTCGGTGGCAGCAACCCAACAATGGATTGTTCGATTCGTTTGATAATTTCAGGGCCGATAGATCTTGACCAATTAAACAATTTTATCCCGTGTCACATTTGCTCTAAAAGATTTAGTTTTTGAGATATAAGCCAAAAACTGCATTTGACCCTTATGTTCTATTTTTAGCCATGGCGGCCATGTTTGTCAATAGATACAAACTTCGGATACAATTTATAAACAAGATACCCTAAGGAACATTTAGTTAAATTTTGAAGGTAATTGGCCCAGTAGTTTCAGAGGAGAAGATTTTTAAATGTTAGCAAACTTGATGAACAAATTGTGTAAAATTGTCTTTAAAGGGCAATAACTCCTTAAGGAGTCAATTGACAATTATGGTCACATAACTTTTTTGTAGATCTTACTTTGCTGAACATTATTGCTGCTTACAGTTTATATATGTCTATAATAATACTCAAAATAATAACAAAAAACTGCAAAATTTTGTTAAAACTACCAATTCGGTGGCAGCAACCCAACAATGGGTTGTTCGATTCGTCTGAAAATTTCAGGGCCGATAGATCTTGACCAATTAAACAATTTTACTCCGACTTATTTGCTCTAAAAGATTTAGTTTATGAGATATAAGCCAAAAACTGCATTTGACCCCTATGTTCTATTTTTAGCCATGGCGGCCGTGTTTGTGATGGATCAAAACTTCGGATACAATTTATAAACTAGATACCCTAAGGAACATTTAGTTAAATTATGAAGGTAATTGGCCCAGTAGTTTCAGAGGAGAAGATTTTTAGATGTTAGCAAACTTGATGAACAAATTGTGTAAAATTGTCTTTAAAGGGCAATAACTCCTTAAGGAGTCAATTGACAATTATGGTCACAATAACTTTTTTGTAGATCTTACTTTGCTGAACATTATTGCTGCTTACAGTTTATATATATCTATAACAATATTCAAAATAATAACAAAAAACTGCAAATTTTGTTAAAACTACCAATTCGGTGGCAGCAACCCAATAATGGGTTGTTCGATTCGTCTGAAAATTTCAGAGCTGATAGATCTTGACCAATTGAACAATTGTATCCAGTCAGATTTGCTCTAAAAGCTTTAGTTTTTGAGATATAAGCCAAAAGCTGCATTTGACCCCTATGTTCTATTTTTAGCCATGGCGGCCATGTTTGTCGATGGATCAAAACTTCGGATACAATTTATAAACTAGATACCCTAAGGAACATTTAGTTAAAGTTTGAAGGTATTTGGCCCAGTAGTTTCAGAGGAGAAGATTTTTGAAATAGTTTACGACGACAGACGACGACAGACGACGGACGACGAAGGACGCCAAGTGATGGCATAAGCTCACATGGGGCACTTCGGGCCCCGGTGAGCTAAAAAAGGAGTGGAATATGGTAAGCCAAAACACTGCAAAAGTTAAAAAAAACCTTGTAAAATTTCCGATTACGTGACAAAATTGTCTCGAACAGCAATGGATAACTTTTGGGTCTTGTTATTACATGCAAAATTGTTGAAATATTTTTCTAATCAATCCTTTACACTCATTAACATTCCCCTATAGATTTCACCCTACTTAGATACATTAATTGTCCGTCGGAATACTTTATTGACTGGACGAAGTTTAAAATATTTGTGAAAATTAAGTTGTATAACGAACCTTTTAGACAAAATCATGGGGTGAATGTCTGTAAAACTATATCATTAGTATCGCTTAACTACAAATGACACAAGTGACCATTGACCATCAATTACAGAAGCTGCTAGATCAGTTCATTGTGAAATTTCAAGATAAACTGAAAATACACTCTTCTTAAAATCTCACACACCTTCGAGCAAAATAGTATACAATAAAATATAAAAAGTAAAAGAAACTGTTTCATATAAGCTTGAAATGGTTAAAATGAGTTAAGAACATGACATGCTGAAAGGCACAGTATACTTGCTAGAAAGAAAGAGAAAAGGTTGTTTATAGATTTGAGATATTGATGCTGAACGAATTTTGAAACATTGATGCATAATTTCGTATTTTTAATTTAGATTGCAACTACAGAAACAATATGTTGGATAGGGGCATGCCGCCGTTTTGCAATTCGAAGAAGTTTCGATTATAAAAAAAATCAGAACTTATACCTAGCGATGTTTTTCCAGTGCAGAATCCTCTTGGCTCCTCTATACTGGACTCTAATTCTGCCTCCATTAGTCGAAATTGACGTCCCTTCCTTCTAATGTGATGTCTGAATTGAAATCTTCATATATATGATGAAAAACATGAAACTATAGAACCCCCATAACTATTATATCAATAAAATGGACATGCTGCAACAACTTATTATCTTTAAAGAGAAATTTATAGGAAAGGCAATTTAAAGTCATCATATACTAGATATTTTTTGCGATATTTACATACATAACGTTCTAGCTAGGCCTCTGTCAACTAGAACCTTTAAATTCGCTTATGAATAGAGATTTCCTCAACTCCTTGAAAACAAAAACTTTGTGAGGTTGCCAATTTACGTACCTGTTACCTTTAGATTGCTGATAAAAGAAATTTACTTGACAGTATTGTTTAAGAATCTCGTTAATTCTTTTTTACGTCTTTTACAAACTGCAATTCGACGAACACAGTAGATTTTGTAAAAACGGTACCTTAGGGTTTTATTTGTTATTACAGACCCCCTCTTATTTTATCGCCGATTTTAATATCTCGTATTACCAATACATGTAACAAAAATCAAGGAAAACAAGTTTTAAGTAGTTCAGTCTTTTTCCGTTTCATTAACTTTGTTATTACTATTACCACTGTGTATCATCACCACCGGATATAGGTACCATTGGCCTGGTTCTCTGTTCATTGTCTAAGAAAAACAACATTACTGTACAAAAACCAGCGTATAGCTACCTGGGTACCTATATGTTGGTATATGTACAGTAATGTACAGTAAGTAGTGATTACACGAACAATATAAACTCACATTATTGACAACGAAAAAAGAAATAAAAAAGTAGGTCTTATTTCAATGTCTACAGCGTCCTATATGATATGGGGAAGTGGAGAGTTCCGACATTTTTACTTTTATCATATTTTGTACTCTATTTTTTTCTTTTAAGGCGGATAGAAAGATAGTTTTGTTTCCCTATTCATTTGAATTCACATTGGAAATTTCCTGTTATGCTTTGTTTCATTCCTCAGTCTAAGTTTGCTTCTTGATTACTATGTTACAAAGTGAAGCGTGTATTACTGCTTTTAATGTTAATCTGTGTTTATGAATAAAACGACCGCGTTGTAAACATCAACGAGACAACAACTCTGCAACTTAACGAGGTCTCAAGATTCCCAAGTCGATATGGTCTGCAATGAACAAGTATCAAGCTCTAAATTGTTAAGAGTCGTCTTGAAGTGTCTCCCTGTTGATACAATATTCCAGAGATTGCGTTTCCTATCATTTTTGAAGTAATTTTTTCAAAAGTTTTACGGGCGCCATTATGAGTTGTTATAGACCGCACAGATATGTTCCAATTGTTGTAGCCATTCTCCCGTCCTCTTTTCTTGAATTAAGACACAATCGAATGAGACTTAACGTCGAATTTGTACTTAAAAGGCGAAAACAATTTGTATGTCTGTTCAAGTCCGATTTTTTTAACTTTCAAACCTCGAAATACAGTTTTTATTCATTTCAAAGTAGTAAGAAATTGTCTGACAAACTGGTCATTGAAACTTATTCTTACAAGGAGTATGAAACCGACTTTTTGGGTTATATTTCACATAAAAGGGCTTAAATGAAAATGGAAATAACTCTTTATAAATATGATGCTGCCGCAGCGTATAAAAGATGAAACATGATGTCGCAAAAATTGAGATGATGAAATTTTTAAATACAAGTAATACAATTGAAAATTTGAAGATTGATTTATGACTACTTCAGTGTGTTTACGTGTATACCATAAAAGTAAAGCAATAAAACTTTTGTCAAATACTACAAATTCTGAACTGCTACTTAAAGTTACAAATGTAAATCTATTGTGTGGCTGAAGTTGTGTATAGTGTTATAATTGTGATAAAACGTCGATATTTACGTCTCCTAATGTAGTCTTCCATTGTAGGTCTCTGTCTTAATTGATCTTTACAGGGATTATACACAGATGTACACGCGCGTTTATGAGATGAATATAGAAAATAATATAGGCTGATATAATATAAATATAATAACATCGACAGATTTACGCATTTCCATGGAAACACACCATTTAAGGTAAGCTAATTTTCAAATCGTTACATTGTATAAAGATTTCTGTCTGCTGTATACAGGTAAATCACAAGTTTGCCATTTACAAAATATTTTTGATTTGACGTTTCATTATTTATTAATGACCACGATCTTTCTTTAACATACCCTAACAATACAATCTATAATTAATTAATGTGGGCATCTGTCCTATTTTTATGATAATAGCCAGATAATATCAGGAAAACTCAGAAAATGGTGAGATTTTTTTCTATCTTACACGATGGTCAATTTTTGATTTTGTATACGTGGGTTTTCTTCATCACTAGGATTTTCATTTTAAAACATTCCAATATAAAAGACTGATTTACTATATAGTTATACCCATGGTTGTGTACTTTGTCACAGTAAACTGTCAATAGCTCAGTTTGATACCAGTGTGACAATCAGTAAAATATATTCAATAGACAGTTGATATTATGTTGATGGATTAAATGTTTTGTAATGTAGGGAAAGAAACAAGTAACTATCTTTTCTACATGTATTCTTTAAGTGCAGATATGGAAAATATATAGAAAGAGGTATATAAGGCTTACTGAAGAGTAAATATTATACATTAAAAAATTTGAAATAATGATATACTTATTCATTAAATGATAATGTTATTTAGCGCAGTACATTGCTGTTTGAGTCAGGTTTTAAACAGTATCACAAATTTTAAATGTTTTTGTTTAATTTGCTGTAATATTTTGCATTGATTGGAATCCTTCACCAACATGAATTAACTTTTTAGGCAATTGGAATTTAGTAATGTCTGCAGAAATATTTCATAATGTTGTTAAAATCTCACTGAGGTCCCTTGGTTTTCTTATTGAATTGTTTCTCGTGAATTACATTGTGGTATGGCTTTTGTTCATTGTTGAAGGCCGTACGGTGACATATAGTTGTTTACATCCTTTTTCTTTGGTATCTGGTGGATAATAGTCCAGGGGAAATGACCCTACCTCTTTTGCATGAAAAACTGTATAATTAAGATTATTTAAAACTTTAAAAGGTATAAATTACATTGAATAATACCTCAGTACACATGGACTTCTTAAAAAACAATATATGTTTACCACTAATTAAGTCTAGTTGAAATTCTGCAGTGAACTTACGCCATTGTTTGTGTGAACTTGTGCATCCTTTGAAAACAAGGCGCTGACTGAATTTTGACAGGATTGTACATGAACGACAAACTGCTAAAGCTAATGCACTCTTTTCAAAGATGATTCACATTTAATTATTTAAGGCTGAATTGTAAAAGTTTTCTGAAATAAAGACCTTTCATTCACCTACAACTCCCGCCTTATTTTGTTAACAAGAGACTTTTACCTTTTACCATGACCTTTTAAGCATGCTGATTTCTGATTTAATTTGATTTTTATTTCATCTGAAACTAAAATTTCTGCCTAATCTAACTGTTAAACAAAAACTTGATAATTGGACAATCATGAGTGGTGTTTTGAAGGTATATCCTTATGAAAACTATCATTTATTGCATTATGATGCAAGACATGAGAGTATGCTAATTCTCAGACAAGAAAGGATTTTATGCGTGAACCCCCTGAACGCCTAAAAATTGGTGAGTTTTGGTAACTTCTATGGGCCATTCGGATATTTCCGGAAACAAGATTCTCGGAACTTCTCGAAAATGTTCTTTTATACAGGTAGTTATCTAAATCGAATAATTCAAGCCCTTGGCCCAAGACCACAATTAATGATCCCGCTTTTCGTTGTCCACGAATATAGTTCCTTTTAATTAGAGTGTATTTTTTCTTAATTTTTTTTCTTTCCCTTCCTCACTCATTTCTTAGTTTTTTTTGGGTGGAAATAAAAGAAGAGAGATGAAATAATCTTTTGGATGTTGTATTTTAACTGATTTTGATATGGAAAGAGTGATTAGGCCAGGTGCAAAAAGGTGATATTTACAGTTTTCGGAACATCTCTTGACTTGTCCATAGGGGTATGGATGTGTATTGGCTAAATTTGTAAGAGTCATTGGTTCAATCTTTCTGAATTTTGGATATATTTTTGGACTAGTACTATACATTATACACACAAAAGATTTGACAAAAATGCAAGGTGCAATTTTTTTAATGAAACAAAACGTTATAAAGAACTAATAGGGGAATTTAATTGTGGTCTGTGGCCTAAGAGGTGAATTCAGGAAATATTGAATTTGTACTTTGACAACTTCCCTGAATGATCTATTGGTATTAATTTGTCAAACTACATGAGAATAAATGATTTCCACTTTTATTTGATAGAAATTTTGTAAAAAAGTGACATTTCAGCCTACATGCCCAAAATTGAACTTTTTCAGTTGTTTCAATATTTTTACAAAAGTAGCATGCTTACTTTCTCTCTGACAGATTTTTCTGGTTTTCTATTTGTGTTTGTGGTATCTAATGTAGATGTTTAACTCATTTTTGAACACTGAACACAAAAAAAAGTAGATAAAAATCAGAATAAGAGTGCAAAATGTGCTGCTTTAATGGTCTTAGTCTAACGGTCAGTATGAAGCAAGTGAAAAATGAGGTTCTATGCACATACAAGTTGAATTCCTTTTAGCAGATTTCACTGAATCTGTATCAAAAGCACTTATTACTGGTTGTTTGACCTTGTCTGTTTCACAAACTTCCTTTATTTTCTTTTGTTTGATAGCTAGTGGTTAAAATATTGGCCTTTTGAGGCTGAAATTTCATGCCGGTTTTAAAAAGTAAAGTAAATAACTTTGCATCAAATCATACTGTCTACATATATAGTTGAAAGTGACAGTCATGTTACATCCAGGCTCCATGTTTTATCATATCTAAACAAAGATTTGAGCAAAAAGAAGCATATCTCTATCTACCATATCATTTATATGCTTTTTAATATGCAAATGTGGGGAACGACCTAAATTGACAACCTGTTTTTTTTAAGCTTGACATTGCTGAAGACCATTTTATTCACATGTGTTATGCTATTTGAAACTTATGTTTCCATTAAAAGTACATTTATAACATGTAAAAGGTGTTTTTATAACTTAACAACTTCAGAAAATTGTGGTAAGTGAAAAATATTACATTTCATATAAGGCTTCGATTCATTTGAAAACCTCTATTTTTTGGCACAGGCTCATATAAAATTTACTTCTGGCCATTTTTCATAAGTCTGAAACATGAAGTATGCTATCTGTTGCTTTTAATAGGTGATAACTTATACATAGAAACATTAAAAAATGTAAGTTTTGGTATATTTTGGTTTTTAGAAGCCCAAATTTGATAGTTGAAATTGTTCTAATTCAACGCCACAATTCAGCACCCAAAGTTCAGATATAAAAAATGCCACATTTTTTATAATTGGTATCATATGGCTTTGAAACTTTGTAAACTGTTTTATAATACACTAAGCTTAAATCATGCCAAGTTTTATTAGAATTGGTCAAGTTTTAGACCCCTAATAGGCCCAAGACCACAATTAATGATCCCGCTTTTCGTTGTCCACGAATATAGTTCCTTTTAATTAGAGTGTATTTTTTCTTAATTTTTTTTCTTTCCCTTCCTCACTCATTTCTTAGTTTTTTTTGGGTGGAAATAAAAGAAGAGAGATGAAATAATCTTTTGGATGTTGTATTTTAACTGATTTTGATATGGAAAGAGTGATTAGGCCAGGTGCAAAAAGGTGATATTTACAGTTTTCGGAACATCTCTTGACTTGTCCATAGGGGTATGGATGTGTATTGGCTAAATTTGTAAGAGTCATTGGTTCAATCTTTCTGAATTTTGGATATATTTTTGGACTAGTACTATACATTATACACACAAAAGATTTGACAAAAATGCAAGGTGCAATTTTTTTAATGAAACAAAACGTTATAAAGAACTAATAGGGGAATTTAATTGTGGTCTGTGGCCTAAGAGGTGAATTCAGGAAATATTGAATTTGTACTTTGACAACTTCCCTGAATGATCTATTGGTATTAATTTGTCAAACTACATGAGAATAAATGATTTCCACTTTTATTTGATAGAAATTTTGTAAAAAAGTGACATTTCAGCCTACATGCCCAAAATTGAACTTTTTCAGTTGTTTCAATATTTTTACAAAAGTAGCATGCTTACTTTCTCTCTGACAGATTTTTCTGGTTTTCTATTTGTGTTTGTGGTATCTAATGTAGATGTTTAACTCATTTTTGAACACTGAACACAAAAAAAAGTAGATAAAAATCAGAATAAGAGTGCAAAATGTGCTGCTTTAATGGTCTTAGTCTAACGGTCAGTATGAAGCAAGTGAAAAATGAGGTTCTATGCACATACAAGTTGAATTCCTTTTAGCAGATTTCACTGAATCTGTATCAAAAGCACTTATTACTGGTTGTTTGACCTTGTCTGTTTCACAAACTTCCTTTATTTTCTTTTGTTTGATAGCTAGTGGTTAAAATATTGGCCTTTTGAGGCTGAAATTTCATGCCGGTTTTAAAAAGTAAAGTAAATAACTTTGCATCAAATCATACTGTCTACATATATAGTTGAAAGTGACAGTCATGTTACATCCAGGCTCCATGTTTTATCATATCTAAACAAAGATTTGAGCAAAAAGAAGCATATCTCTATCTACCATATCATTTATATGCTTTTTAATATGCAAATGTGGGGAACGACCTAAATTGACAACCTGTTTTTTTTAAGCTTGACATTGCTGAAGACCATTTTATTCACATGTGTTATGCTATTTGAAACTTATGTTTCCATTAAAAGTACATTTATAACATGTAAAAGGTGTTTTTATAACTTAACAACTTCAGAAAATTGTGGTAAGTGAAAAATATTACATTTCATATAAGGCTTCGATTCATTTGAAAACCTCTATTTTTTGGCACAGGCTCATATAAAATTTACTTCTGGCCATTTTTCATAAGTCTGAAACATGAAGTATGCTATCTGTTGCTTTTAATAGGTGATAACTTATACATAGAAACATTAAAAAATGTAAGTTTTGGT